TTAAAACTATGAAATATCCCTTCAACCAGGGCTGATTTGTCAATAATAAATATGAACATTGAAAAATAGCCGGTCCCTTCTTTTTCTGTCAGCTGCTCCCTTCAGGGGTCTTTACAGCAGATCATCTCCACCCTCCAAGGAGGTTTTTAACAGAAGAAATGTTTAAGACTTCATGCCTTTGTAATCACTATACTGATTTGGTCTCTCCTTTGACTTATTTGAGCACAGATTTGATCACATGGCTCCACCCAGTTTCCACGTTCCTCTTTTTGACCAGGGAACAGGTGCTTGTTATTTTTGTCATTATGTAAGAACTGATTTAAATATAAATCCTGCACTTTCAAACGTGGCCTGTTTCCCATAAAAGCAGACATTGTGTCTGATATTTGCGATAATATTGCTGTCACCAGAGATGGGCAGTAATGCGTTACTTGTAATGCGTTACTGTAATCCGATTACTTTTTTCAAGTAACGAGTAAAGTAAGGGATTACTATTGCAAAAACGGTAATTGGATTACCGTTACTTTCCCGTAGGAACGCTGCGTTACTGCGTTACTAAAACCGTGATTTTTTTGCAAGAATGTCTCACGACAGTGACGCAAGCAAGTGCGACTATCGTGACAACAGCTGTGTGCAGATCAACAGTGGATAATATATGGAGTGTGGGAGAGAGTATGAGCGTGCAGCGTTTAAAGCGTGGAAGCACTGACCTTACTTTAAGTTTGATTCCATAAAAAGTGACAAAAACATTAGTGTCCGTTGTGCGTGGGGAGAAAACTTCTTTTTACAGCGGAAAAACAACCCCTACACTTCCAAGCAAGCACAGAGTGCGCTAGGACTTAATGGGAAACGCACAGAGATTCTTCCACTGACCGCCGCGACACACCTGCACCAGAGTAAATCTCCGCCTACCCTACTCCTGCTTTACAGGTGAAAATAGAGCAACAGGACCGCTGAGTCTTTGATTTTATTTATTGTCTGCTATGTTTTACTTGCATCTATTTGAAAGAGTGAGTGTAAACACACACACAAAAAAAAAATTATGTGCTGGAATGTGTAGAAAATAGGTTTAAATATTAAACAAATTTCTTCCAGTCAGTGAATGTTGCATATAATAAAATTTTTGCTTGATGCATAAAGTTAAAAGATTAAAACTAATAAAGCAAGTTTTAAAAAGGGACTTTTCCATTTGATTACATTTTGTATGATGGATTATGTAGAAAAAGTAGAATTGGGCTGACAGATCTATGGCTTTATCACCTATTCAGGTTGTAAATCGTGTTTTTAAAAAGTAACTAAGTAATTAATTACTTTTGAAAATAAGTAATCAGTAAAGTAACAGGATTACTTTTTGGGGAAGTAATCAGTAATTAGTTACTGATTACTTTTTTCAAGTAACTTGACCAACACTGGCTGTCACTAGCTCCATTGCAGAGTTTTAAGGACTTAAGAACTCACATAAAATGGCACATAGAGGGCAGTAGTGGGCCACCTAAAATAATCCAAATGTACAAGTTATTAAAGCTGGCATGACACTTGTCTCCACATCAGAATACATTTTATACGTTAGAGTCCAGGAAATAAAAAATTATGATTTTGACTAAATGCTGCTATTTTAAACTTGATTTGTTACTGCATCAATTCAGATTCTGTCTTAATACAAATGTAGTTTCATCTTTAAATGGTTTAAGACATTTAAATGTTAGAGTTGTTACCTTCAAGTAGGGGCCAGGTCTTCTATCGGTAGGCCTGAGTAATTGTTTGCCAAAAAGTAATTGTTTGTATTATATCTGCTTTAGATAACTTGTTGGCCTATAATATGTGAAACATATGTCAACTGTGTCCCTGATTAATTATATCAAGTCATCTTGAGCCACAAACGACATTCCTATCACAAGGTAGAAGCTGCAATCAGTGTTTTTGCAGTGGCTTATATATAAGGTAAAAAATCTTGTTGACATTAAAAATGTCTTTTTAAAAAAAGTAATCTGGCCAAGTGGACAGCAGGAATTGCAACAAATATAACAATAGTTCTGTAAACATATTTTAAGTTGCCAAAAAGGACATAGAAACAATAACATGGAGTCATAAAGATACTTGAAAAACAGGTAATTATTCAATTTTACATATAATGTTTGTAAATCCTGTTCACTAACGTTTGGGGCGATCGTGGTTCAGAGGGTTGGGAAGCTCATCTTGTAACCAGAAGGTTGCCCGTTTGATCCCCAGCTCTGTCTGTCTTGGTCGTTGTGTCCTTGGGCAAGACACTTCATCTACCGCCTACTGGTGTTGGCCAGAGGGGCCGATGGTGCGATATGGCTGCCTTGCTTCTGTCAGTCTGCCCCAAGACAGCTGTGGCTACAACTGTAGCTGCCTCCACCAGTGTGTGAACGTGACAGTGAATGGATAGTGGAAATGTAATGTAAAGCGCTTTGAGGGTCTCGAAAAGCGCTATATAAATGCAATCTATTATTATTATAAAGTGTATTTACCAATATAAGTAAAGACATTACACATAAGAAACACGTGAAAACAAATCAGTTTTGGACAGAGGATCACTTTTTGGCACAACACTGAACACCCAGGGGGCGACAGCCTTAGAGGTCTCCTTTCGATGTGGAGGAGCAGCGGCTCTAATCTGAACCATAATCACTGAACTCCTCATCCGATCGCCAAGGGAGAGCCCATCCACCTTTCAGAGAAAGCTTATTTCCTGTCGTTAACACAGGGCTTGATTCACAGATTTTTGGCATTTCTCAACAATGCGCCATCTAGTGGCAGAGTGTTGCCAACATTTAGGACAAAGTAAGTTACTGGCAATGGGCATCATTTTTAAATTTTAAAAAGTCTCACATTTACGACTAGTGACAATGACGATGATTAGTCCCACACATCCCAAGTTCCAAGTAATAAACAAATAAAAGACTTGATTTCACTCACCTGAGATGAAGCACAGATCTCAGGGCTGATTATTAGTTATCAGAATATTAGTCACATAATCCATTAAAACTTCCCCAAAAGGCACCAGCTGACCACTTAGATTGACAAGTGAGGCTTATTTAGCTTTCATCTAATTTTTCATCTAATATTCAGCCCTACCCTCTTTGAGAAAACCCTTATCTGATTGGTTGCCCCTCACAAATACAAGATAAGAAAGGCAGGAGGGTGGGGCTTATGTCCTCAAAGCTAAAGCTATATACCTGAAAAATTAACAACATTAACATTATCCACGTCCTTTGACATCATGTAGAAGAAGAAGTAGAAAAAAAATATCAGAAACAAAAATTTAAAAAGCACATTACTTGACAGAAAAACATTTATTTATCACAGCAGAAGTAACAAAGCTTTTCTTTATGCAATAAAAAACAAGACAAAACAAGAATCATCAAATTATCACAATGTCAAGCTGTAATTGTCCAATAAAAGAAGAGGAAGCAGTGATAAATGATGGCAGCGGAAATCAACAGTCAGGGTTAAGAAAGAGTGAAGAGACTTGGGGAAGTTGCTCTAATGTTTGGGACTTGGCATTATACTAACAATATTCACTCAAGCATCCAAATCAGTAAATCAGGTGTTCTGGTCACTTCCATTTCTGAAGTTTCCTCGCTAAATATTCCACGGTCAGCTCTTAGTGGTATGACACCAAAGTGGTATAACAGCAGCAAACCCATGAAGATGTAGGACACATAAAATCACGGAGCAGAGTCAATCGCTACAGACCTCCGACCTTCATGTGACCTTCAGATCAGCATTAAGCACACTACGACTGGACTCTAGAGCAGTGGAGACATGTTCTCTGGAGTGACGAATCAAGATTCTCCATCTGGACAATGCAATGGACGGTTGCCAGGGGAACGCTTCTTGTCTGATTGCGTTGTGCTAAGTGTAAAGTTTGGTGGAGGGGGATTATTGTGTGGGATTGTTTTCCATTAGTTGGGCTCAGCTGGTTAGTTCCAGTAAAAGGAACTCTTAATGCTTCAGCATACCAAGACATTTTGGACAATTTCATTCTTCTTTGGCGATGGTCTCTTCCCGTTCCTGTTGGAACAACATGACTGGCCTGCACAGAGTCCCGACCTCCACCCGACAGAACAACTTTGGGATGAATTAGAGCAGAGACTGTGAGCCAGGCCTTCTAGTGCAACATCATTGTCTGACCTCACAAATGTGCTTCTAGACAGGTGTCCAGGTGTACAGAAGCACCAAAAACACCTATAAACACTCCTAAACCTTTGGAAAGCCTTCCTGTAAGAGTTTCAGCTGCCACAGTTGGTCGTACATCATATTAATCCCTATGGATTAAGAATGGGATGTCACTCAAGTTCATATGCGTGTCAAGGTAGACGAGTGAATACTTTTGGCAATAAAGTGTAATCTGTGTGTAAAGCCAGAACTGATGTCTGAGAGATCTTAGTTGGTTCTTAGTTTCACCCAGGAAGGCCCAGAAAACAAATCGACACCTCATCTGTACATCTGCACCAATTTACTGAAGAGTGTAATACTCAATCTGAGACAGTCATTTAGAATTTTGCGAGTTGTGAAGTGTGCCAGAACTTTTGTAAGAATTTGGTGGAGTGAAATCAGGACTCTGATCACTTACACAATCAATGAAGAACTTTAAGAAGAAGTTCACCATAATCTGTAAACACAGTGGTGCAGGAGGCATTTAACCCATTTTCTTTTGGTTTCTTTTAACATAAGCTATCAACTCTACACATAAATATTTGATGAACGCCTTTCCTCACATGCCCTCCTTCTTCTCATACACTTACACAAGACAATGACACAAACTATCAGGAGCATCCCAAACTGGCAGCACAGCCCAATCGCAAACCACATCCAACAGGAGAGTCCCAGTGGGCAATCGTTGGCAACACCTGAATGCAACACAGATCATTGGAGAAAGTGAGGACAACAAGAATGAGTTACACATTCAGCAAAGGATCACTTTGATCAAATTTGCAGACATTTTGCAAAAGCTGGACGCACATGTTGCACGTGTTGTCTTCTGAGCACTCGTTACAAACAATGTGACGTTCTTCGGGGTGGATGGTGGAGTTGTAGTTGGAGGCTCTGAAGAACAAAAACACACATCTTTATGTTTCTATTGACTACATATGTGGACATGGGTCTTCATTCCTAGTAACTGTGTATTACCTTGTACTGTGATGGCCAGACGCTCACTAAATGTATTCCTGCCACAGGTGACGATACACTCCCAGGGCCCGTTATGTGAGGTTTTTACAGGTTTGAGTTGAACTGTTGATGTATTTGTGAGTGAATATGTATTTGGACTTCTCCACTTCACTTCACAACCATGGTGCTGACCTTTCACCTCACACCTGAGCGTTGCCTCATCGTTTAGCTCGAGAACATCAGAGGGTTTGACGGAGACCAAAACTGAGAAGGAAACAGACAGATAACCACAGATACAGTGAGAATCACAAAGAGAAAGGGAGACCAACAAGGAGCTTCATCCAAATTCATTACACATGACAAAGCTTTATAACATGAGATGAAATACAATGAGAGCATATTACACTAAGAATTAAAGTAAAAGTGGTAACTCTTTCACACATGGAACATTTTTGGTGAAATGAAACACAAATAAACATTTAACTGTAGAGGGATGGTAATAAGTAGTGACCCAGCTGGTGAGAGAACAGCGTAGGCCTGGACTGTTTGGTTTGGTTTGGTTTTTTTGGTCACTGTTATAATTTGCTTACACGGCATGACTGTCATATAGAAACACAAAGTAAGCTTTTTATTCAATTATCTGACAAAAAGAAATAAAAAACGAAGGAATAAAGCTAAAGTAGTTTTTTAAAGAAAATTATGTTTATATAGTTAATAGTATAAAAAAATAGAATTATTAATTAATAGTTGTGTCTTATGTAATATTTAAAAGCTATGGATGTAATTCTAGAGCCCAGCATATGTCCGTGGCCCCTCCGATGCTTCCCCTTCTCCTGATGGACTCCAGTAATGGCAGGGTGGCCACACTTGACACTGTGGTGGTCCTGCCCACCACCAGGTTGACTAGGAGGGGATTAAGTTGGATTTTGGGAAATGTAGTCTCCAAATTTCAAAACATATACAAGACATGCTGTGCAAGAAATTCATTTTGTATATTTGCTGTATATCCTTTACCTGTTATAGTAAAAGAACCATCAGCCACATAAAATAATTTCCCCTCATTTTTCAGCAGTGATGTTTTTATTAATCTGATTATCAATGTAATGTGCAGGGAAAATGAAAACAAAACCATATTTGTCCTAATATGTTAAACGCTGCACTGTTCAGTTATATTTGAACATTTATTTGTAAATGTGTATTTTTCAGGGTCTGCTGTTTACCTGAGAACACAGAAAGTGAATGGTTATGACGTGTCCAATCTGCCGAACATGTGAACCGTCCAGCATCTGTTTCTCTCACACTGGAGATTTCCAGATTGTTCTGTTTCACGGCTGACCTCCACGCAAGTTCAGCACTGCCTAACACAGAAAATAAAAATATGTTCTAATATAATGTTATCATCAAATACTTTACTGTTAAGTGTTCTGAGATAATCAAGTACCTTTGCGAGTGAAGCCTCTCTGATCAACACTATAAAGAAGGTCATTTCCATGAAGCCACCGCAGAGAGCGTATGTAGCTGCTGACCCCACACTTCAATGTGACTTTCTCCCCGACTTTTGCAAAGAAAACTTCACCTGCTGCAGAGAGTGCACCCAGCACTGAAAAGAAGACAATCACAGTAAATAAATACTTGTCTTTTAACAATGCTTATTTAAAGGAGGATATAACAAACGTCTTTACATGGAGCCAAAAAAGTCATATTTTCTTCATTTTGTCGTAAACTTGTAGAGTGACATTAAACCACCTGGGATCAGTAAAACACCACAACAACCATACTTTTCAAGTATGACTTTTCAAGTAGATTAAACATGACGTCACACACCATCTACAACATGTATGTGCAGTATTTTAAAGGATTATTCACAATATTGTCTTCACAAGTATATTCACTCACCAAACACAAACAACACAATCACCTTCATTCTGAAAGTCGACCTGAGGGTTTAAAATAAAACACAAATGAACATTTGTGTTAACACTAAATCATAAAAAGAAAACTAATTAAAAGTGAACACTTTCATTTTATACACAGCCACAGAGAGATGAACAGTTTACAGAGAAACCACCAAGCCCTCGCTCGATTTCCATCCTCTCTCTGTGTCGTATGTTAAAAATAAGAAATCCTTCTGAAACATAAAACCCAATTTTAAAATGTAAGTTGAGCTCTTACCTTAATTTTGAGCAGATTCTGTGTCTTTTAGTTCATTTAGTGACGGCAAAAATCTTTCTTCGTCCTCTCCGTGCTTCACTTCACTGAAAACAAGAGCTCAAGAATGCAAAAAGTGTAGAAAGCGGAAGACATCTGAAGACAGAGCTGCAAAGTTGTTAGCCACTGCAAACCCCAGATCTTTGTGGGTTTGCTACTCATGTCTGCATTTTCCTGCAATCTAGGCCTGGCATTTTCTACTCAGTGCAGTTCTTACAAAAAGCTGAAGAAAGTTCTGCAGAGTGTCTTAAAAAAGGCTCAACTGCACACACTCAGTTAGACTACTCTCATGGATCAATTGTCACAATGATTTCTGCAAAAGAGAAGTGAAAATAACTTGGAAATAAACAAGGAAGTCATAATAGAAAGAAAAGAAAGAACACAGAGTTTGAAAAAAGACTAATATTTATTCATCACAGCAGAAATAAGAAAGTATTTGTTTTCAAAATAAAAGAAATGGAAGGTAAACGAGCTGATTTGGTGTTTTTTCTGTTTTTCCCCCGACAGTCATTAGTTGCAATTTTTTTTATTTAATGACATTTTCTCTTATTGTGGATGCTAAATTCTTTCTTTGTCTTATTTCCTCACACTAGAGGAGGTGTCGTCAGACTAAAGTGATGACACCAAACTCCAATCGTCCAATAAAGGCAGAGAGGACCCGAAGCAGCCGTGGGTCTTGTTGGTTTTCTGAAATAATTTGTGAGTTAAACTTGAACAGATGTCTGATTGATCTCAGGTGGTTCTCAGTTTTACTCAGCAAGGCGCAGGAAAACAAACCGAACCTGCTCTCTGACCAGACCTGTGGTTCGTAATCATGCCCTGAACTAATAAATAACTCAAACAATGACCAGAGAGCAGCAAGCACATATATAATAAGCAGTTTGTAAGTTTGTAAGCAAGTCATCTATTTTGTTTTCTGTAGGATAAAATGCTTTTATTTTTCTTTTGCTATTGTTTGAATAAAGTTCTATCCAAAATTTGATTAAAACTATGAAATATCCCTTAAGAATGAAAATCCAGGTAAATGTTTAGCACTGAAACAAAGAACATGTTGCATTTACTTAATTTAATAGTGGACATTGGTTGTACATAGACGTTCTAACAATTGAGGTAAATTGATGACGTTATTCATATTCAATAAACTGGTGCATTTTGTGTTGATAAAATGTCATTGTAATGTGTTTTATTGTGGCGGGGCATGGTTGGTAGTGTGGCTGTCACACCTGGGCCACATCAGCTGGTCACGCCTCCCCTGCACATTATAGGGAACTGGGTCCTGAACATGGGTTGTTTTTGGTGATGTGTTCGGCTGCGAGCTGAGAAGCTGCTGCTGTGGTATAAAGTTACAGCAACCATAAAGATAAATGAAAAACAGGTAATTTTCTGAGTTTATCCTTTGTAAATCCTGTTTACTAAAGTCTGTTTACTAAAATAAGTAATGCCATTACACATAAAAAACAAATGGAAATAAATCAGTTTTGGGCAGACGATCCCTTTTGGCACAACACCAAACACCTCACGCGGGAGGCGAAAGCCTTAGCGGTCTCCTTTCGATGTGAAGGAGTAGAGGCTCTACTCTGAACCCATCCATAATCACTGAACTCCTCACCCTGTCGCTAAGAGAGGGCCCATCCACCTTTCATAGAAAGCTCATTTCCTGCAGTTAACAAAAAGATCAGGCCTTCATTCACAAATTTTTGGCATTTCTCAACAATGCGTCATTTGGTTGCAGACTGTTGCCAACATTTTGGACAATTAATAATACATTTTAACAATTAAATTAAATGACAAGTAAATCTGGGACTGATTAGTGACAACATCGATGATTAGTTGCACACATCCCGAGTTCCAAATAATAAACAAATTTCACTCACCTGAACTGAAGCACAAACCTAATATTTATCAGAATATTAGTTACACAATCCATTAAAACGTCCACAAAAGTCATTAGCTGACCACTTTAATTGTCAAGTGAACATTATTTATCTTATTTTCATCTGAAGCCCTACCCTCCGTAAGAAAATCCTTTTCTACAGTGGCCATGAGAGGCCAAATGGATTGCAACTTAAAAAACCCCCACCAGCACTAAGAAAAACACTGCAAAAACACACAAAACACAACTGAAATAGGAAAAAAGAAAACAGAAATTAGAAAAAACAAAAACAGAAATAGGAAAAAAACAAATTTCCAAAAGCACAAGGGAAGTGTCTCTGGGGAGAAAATAACCCTACAGACCAGTTGCAGGAACCAAAATATGCTAAGAAGTGCGCTGGGAGACACTTAAAAGAAATGCATGTCTATCTATCAGTTTTGTGAGGAAAGAAAAGATGAGAGGTAAGTGTGTTAGCCTAACTATTAGCCTAAAAATCTGTCATCAGTATTATATGAATCATGAGACTAAAACACACTTACATAGCATATTTTGGATCCTGCAACTGGTCCGTAGGGTTATTGTCTCCCCAGAAACACTTCCTCTGTGCTTGGGAAATCAGTTTTTTCATATTTCTGTTTTCGTTTTTTCTATTTTTGTTTTCTTTTTTCCTATTTCCATTTTCCATCCATCCATCTTCTTCCGCTTTATCCGGGGCCGGGTCGCGGGGGAAGCAGCCTAAGCAGAGAAGCCCAGACCTCCCTCTCCCCAGCCACCTCCTCCAGCTTATCCGGGGGAACACCAAAGCGTTCCCAGGCCAGCCGAGAGATATAATCTCTCCAGCGCAGGGGTGCCCAATCCCGGTCCTCGAGAGCTACTATCCTGCAGCTTTTAGATGCATCCCTACTCCAACACAGCTGAATCAAATGGTTTGATCTCTTCAGCATGCCATCATGTTTGGCAAAGACCTGATAACAAGCCATTCATTTGATTCAGGTGTGTGGGAACAAGGATGTATCTAAAAGCTGCAGGACGGTAGCTCTCGAGGACCGGGATTGGGCACCCCTGCTCCAGCGTGTCCTGGGTCTGCCCCGGGGCCTCCTCCCGGTGGGACATGCCTGGAACACCTCGCCCAGGAGGCGCCCAGGAGGCGCCCAGGGGGCATCCTTGTCAGATGCCCGAACCACCTCAGCTGGCTCCTTTTGATGTGGAGGAGCAGCAGCTCTACTCTGAGCCCCTCCCGGATGGCTGAACTTCTCACCCTATCTGTAAGGGAGAGGCCAGCCACCCTTCGGAGGAAGCCCATTTCCGCCGCTTGTATCCGCGATCTCGTTCTTTCGGTCACTACCCACAGCTCATGGCCATGGGTGAGGGTAAGGACATAGATTGACCGGTAAATTGAGAGCTTTGCTTTTACACTCAGCTCCCTCTTCACCACAACGGACCGGTGCAGCGTCCGCATCACTGTGACTGCAGCACCAATCCGTCTGTCGATCTCCGGCTCCCTTCTCCCATCACTCGCGAACAAGACCCCAAGATACTTGAACTCCTCCACTTGGGGCAGGAACTCATCCCCAACCTGGAGTGGGCACTCCACCCTTTTCCAGCTGAGAACCATGGACTCAGATTTGGAGGTGCTGATCCTCATTCCCGCTGCTTCACACTCAGCTGTGAACCGTTCCAGTGCGAGCTGGAGGCCCTCACCCGATGAAGCCAACAGAACCACATCATCCGCGAAAAGCAGAGACAAGATTCTGAGGCCATCGAAGTAAAAGCCCTCCGCCACTTGGCTGCACCTAGAAATCCTGTCCATAAAAATGATGAACAGAATCCCATCACCCACTGGGAACGAGTCCGACTTATTGCGAATGCGAACCAAGCTCTTGCAATGCTTGTATAGGGATCGAATGGCCCGTAACAATGGGCCAGACATTCCATTTCCATTTTCGTTTTTCCTATTTCTGTTGTGTTTTGTGTGCTTTTGCAGCATTTTTCTTATTGCTGATGTTTTCTTATGTTGCAGTCCGTTTGGCCTCTCGGGGCCACAGTACTTTCGGATTGGCTGCCCCTCACAAATACAAGATTAGAAAGGCAGGAGGGCGGGGCTTATGTGCTCAAAACTAAAGATATATACCTGAGAAATTAACAACATGATCAACGTTATCCACTCCCTTTGACATCATATAGAAGAAAAAGTGGGAAAAAAATCAGAAACAAAAAGCTAAAAAAGCACACAGCCTGACAGAAAAACATTTATTTATCAAGTAACAAAGCTTTTCTTTTTGAAATAAAAAACAAGACATAGACAGAATCATTAATCACCAAGGCTGAAGTGAACCAAGCTGCAATCATCCAATAAAAGAAGAGAAACCAGTGACAAATGATGGCAGCGGAAATCAACAGTCAGAGTTAACAAAGAGTGAGAAGATTCAGGAAAGTTACTCTAATGTTTGGGACTTGTTATTATACTAAAAATATTCACTCAAGCATCCAAATCGTTAAATTCAGATGTTTTGGTCACTTCTATCTCTAAATTTCCACATGACTAAATATTCCACAGTCAGCTGTTAGTTTTATGGTACCAAAGTGGAATGACAGCACCACACCCATGAAGTGGAAGCCCACATAAAATCACAGAGCAGAGTCAATTACCACAGACCTCCAACCTTCATGTGACCTTCAGATCAGCATAAAGCACACGACGACTGGAGCAGTGGAGACATGTTCTCTGGAGTGACGAATCAAGATTCTCCATCTGGACTATCCAATTGACAGTTGCCAGGGGAATGCTACTTGTCCGCCTGCGTTGTGCCAAATGTAAAGTTTGGTGGAGGATTATTGTGAGGGGCTGTTGTTCAGGAGTTGGGGTTTAACGGCTTATTTCCAGTAAAAGGAACTCTTAATGCTTCAGCATACCAAGACGTTTTGGACAATTTCATTCTTCCAACTTTGTGGGAACATTTTGGCGATGGTCTCTTCCTGTTCCTGTTGGAACAACGTGACTGGCCTGCACAGAGTTGCGGCCTCAACCTGACAGAACACCTTTGAGATGAATTAGAGTGGAGACTGCAAGCATCTCCAACATCAGTGTCTGACCTCACAAATGTGCTTCTGGAAGAATGTTCAACTCCTATAAACACTCCCAAACCTATGGAAAGCCTTCCCATAAGAGTTTAAGATGCCACAGTTGGTCCTACATCATATTAAACCCTAAGGATTAAGAATGAGATGCCACTCAAGTTTATATGTGTATGAAGGTAGACTAGTGAGTCATTTGCAAGTAAAGCCTGACCAGATGTCTGACTTCAGGTAGATTTCAGGTAGTTCTTAGTTTTACTCAGCGAGGTCCAGGAAATAAACCAAATATTTCATCTGTACATCTGCACCAATTTACTGAAGAGTGTAATACTCAAACTGAGACAGTCATTTAGACTTAAGCCATTTTTTTGTTTCATCATCAACGATCAACTCTACACATAAATATTTGATGAACGCCTTTCCTCACATACCCTCCTTCTTCTCATACACTTAAACAAGACAATGACACAAACTATCAGGAGAACAAACTGACAGCACACCCCCATTGCAATCCACATCCAACAGGAGAGTCCCAGTGGGCAATCGTTGGCAACACCTGAATGCAACACAGATCATTGGAGAAAGTGAGAACGGCAAGAATGAGTTACACATTCAACAAAGGATCACTTTGATCAAATTTTCAGACATTTTTCAAAAGCTGGACGCACATGTTGTACATGTTGTCTTCTAAACTTCTTCTTCTTCCTCCTAGCGTTTTTCCCACTCGGTTGCAGGGTCCGCTTTTCTGCAAAGTCGTCTCCACTTGGGTCGGTCAAGGGCATCGGTCAGATCGGCTTCGATCTTCTTCACGTCGTCCTTGATTCGGTCCATCCATCTCCGCTTTGGTCTGCCTCTAGGTCGACGTCCTTGGGGGCTGAGCCGCAGTGCTGTTCTCACCACTGAGTTCTCATCGCTCCGTACCACATGTCCGTACCACCGCAGCCTTGCTTCTTTCATCTTATCTGTGATTGGCGCGATTCCCATCCTCTTTCTAACGTCGGTGTTCATGACGTGGTCCCATCGTGTCAGGCCTAGGCACCATCGCAGCATCCGCATTTCCATCGTGTGAAGGGCTTGTTCGTGCTTTGCGGTGGCTGGCCAGCACTCGGATCCATAGAGGGCGACGGGGCGCACTACACTCTTGTAGATCTTTGACTCGAGGCGATTGGGCATTCTTCGGTCACACAGGACGCCGGTGACTTGGCGCCATTTCATCCACGCTGCGTTGATCCTGGCTCGTACATCTAGTAGGATATCGCCGTCATTGCTGATCATCGATCCGATGTATTTGAAATGAGGTACTTTCGCCAGATCTTCTCCATCGACGCTGATCGTGCCGTCGGTCTGGGGGCCAGCCTCTAAGTATTCGGTCTTGTTGGTGTTGAGCCTCAGGCTGAAGTCAGCTAGGCGAGTCTTCCACTGCTGCGTTTGGTATTGCAGTTCTATTCGCGATTCATCGGCCAGGAAGACATCGTCGGCGTAGAGAAGTGTCCAGGGATGGGGTGACTGGAGATCCGCCGTCGCAGTGTCCATGCAAAGGATGAAGAGCAGCGGGGAGAGTGCCGAGCCTTGGTGGACGCCCACATTGATGTTAAAGGGCGGCGATGTTCCCACTGGGCTTCTGACCACGCTGGTGACTTGTCGGTAGAGGAGCTTTGTCCAGTTGACGTAGGCTTCAGGAACTCCATGTGATCGCAGGGAGTGCCAGATGAGGTCGTGTGGGACACGGTCAAACGCCTTTTCCAAGTCGAGGAAGGCCATGTGGATGGTCTTGGACTTCTCTCGGTGCTTCTCCAAAAGCAGGCGGGCAGCATGGATGGCGTCCGTCGTGCCACGCCCCCTGATGAAGCCACATTGGTTGGGCGTTAAGTTGACGATTTCTCGCATCCTGGCGTCGATGATCCGTTCGAAAACCTTCATGGTATGGCTTAGGAGTCGGATCGGGCGGTAGTTGGAGCATTCAGCCACATCGCCTTTCCCTTTCCAGATGGGCACCGTTATGCTGGTTGACCAGGCTGCTGGGACGGTCCCGTCTCTGATGATGCTATTGAACAGGCTGGCGAGGACTAAGGCGCCTTGGCGCCCGAGCAGCTTCCAGACTTCGGCTGGTATGTCGTCTGGTCCGGTCGCTTTGCCATTCTCCATATTTTAACGGCTGCGACGGGGGACGCCCTAGCTTTTTGAGACGTCATTGCATGGGATGTGACTGTGGATTACATCGACCGGCGCGTCACTCCACCTGACGTCGAGGACCCTCACCGTTAGCCAACTTCCCGAGGGTCGTTGTTTCCAGCTGGCACCGCGAGGAGGTGGTGATGGGATTTTGCCAGCCACATGTTGTCTTCTAAACACTCGTTACAAATGTGACGTTCTTCGGGGTGGATGGTGGAGTTGTTGTAGTTGGAGGCTCTGAAGAACAAAAACACAGATCTTTATGCTTCGTTGACCACATATGTAAACATGGGTCTTCATTCCTAGTAACTGTGTATTACCTTGTACTTTGATGGCCAGACGCTCAATAAACGTATTCCTGCCACAGGTGACGAAACACAGCCAGGGACCATTATGTGAGGTTTTTACAGGTTTGAGTTGAACTGTTGATGTATTTGAGGGTAAATATGTATTTAGACGCCTCCACTCTACTTCACAACCATGGTGCTGACCTATAACCTCACACTTGAGCGTTGCCTCATCGTTCAGCTTGAGAACAGCAGAGGGTTTGATGGAGACCAAAACTGAGAAGGAGAACAGATTGACAACAACAGATACATGAGAATCACAAAGAGAAAGGGAGACAAACAAAGTGCTTCATCCAAACTCATTACACACGTGACAAAGCTTTATAACATGAGAGGAAAAACAGTGAGAGCATCTTACACTAAGTATTAAAGGGTAAGTGGTAACTCTTTCACACATGGGAACATTTTTGGTGATATGAAAATATCATAAATAAACATTTTACTGTAGAGCAATTGTAATAAGTAGTTATACAGCTGGTAAGACAAAAGAGCAGGCCTTGATTACTTTGTATTATTTGTTTGATGTCGCAGTTTGGAATCAGAGAGGACAAAGTTTTAGCAGGAAGGATGTCTGTAGCACAGAGTTTGTTAAAGCATCACAGCAGTGATGTTTTTATTAATCTGATTATCAGTGTAACGTGGAAGGATCCTTAAAACAAAAACATAACAGGCCTAATATGTTAAACCCATCACTGATCCATTAAATGTGAACATTTATTTGTAAAAAAATTTGCAATTTTCCAGGGTCTGCTTTTTACCTGAGAACAGAGAAAGTGAATGTTCATGACGTGTCCCATCTGCCAAACATTTGAACTCTCCGGCATCTGTTTCTCTCACACTGGAGATTTCCAGATTGTTCTGTCTCACGACTGACCTCCGTGCAAGTTCAACAAGTCCTAACACAGAAAATAGAAATAGGCTCTAATATAATTAGTCATCATATACTGATGTTAACTGTTAAGTATTCTGAGATTCTCAAGTACCTTTGCGAGTGAAGCCTCTCTGATCAACATTAAACACAACGTCAGTTCCATGATGCCACTGCAGAGTGTGTCTGTAGCTGCTGACCCCACACTTCAATGTGACTTTCTCCCCGACTTTTGCAAAGAAAACTTCACCTGCAGCAGAGAGTGCACCCAACACTGAAAAGAAGACAATCACAGTGAATAAATACTCTGCTTTTATTAATGTGTATTTAAAGGAGGATACAAGAAATGTCTCTGCATGGAGACAAAACAAGTCATATTCTCTTTATGTTAGAGAACCTGAGTAAAACACCACTACAACCATATTTATACATGATTTTTCAATTAGATCAAACATGAGATCACACACCATCTACAACATGTCATGGTCCTGGGTCGGTGACCCAGCGCTTTAAGTTTATTATTATCATTTTCTAGTTTATTATTATGATGATTATTATTGTTTGAGTTCTCTTCGGTCTGCCTCTGAGTCTGCGTCTGTATCTCTGTCTGTCTATGGTGTCACCCCGTCTGTTTGTGAATCTGTCTGTTCAGTTCAGCATCTTGTCTGGTTCCCTGTGTCTGAGTTTCCTGTTTTATTGTGAAGGTCTGTGTCTTATGTGAGTGTGCTCAGTTTACATTTCCCCTGTCTCGTCAGCTGTGATTTCTCCCAGGTGTGTTCCCCTCCTGTCTCTCATCCCTTGATTACTACCGTCTGTGTATTTAAGCCCTGTGTTTCTCTGTGTCAGTGTTGCGTTGTACCCTCAACTAGCTGTGTGTTCTGCTTCTATGTGCCTAGTGTTTAGTCTCCTGCTCCAGTTTTCTTTTCCAGTGTTTCAGTCCTTGGTTCCTCTGTTCAGACTTTTGTTTGTCTTTTGGTGAGTTTAGTTTGTACGAGGTTTTTCCCAGCAATAAAGCTGCGCTTTCAGTTTCACTTCCGTGTAGTGATGGCCAAATGAAGCTTTCCGAAGCACTGAAGCTTGTATTGAAAAACGGTTCATTACTCGAAGCTTTTCAACACAGTCCTCTCCGGTGACATCTGGTGGTGAAAATTTTGAAGAGCAGCTTGAATCTGCAAAATAAAACGGACTGCTCAATCATCGCTGCTCACTCAAGAGTGGAGTTCTCTCTGATATTGGGCCACCGTTCCGTTGCTTTGAACATGTAATTGGTTTTGTTTTCTCGATTGGGGGGGCTGAAAAAATGTAATGCGTATTTGCGTAATACATTTTGATCAATAAACTTTCCCTATTTAAACATGCACTATGGTGTGGCCTTTCTTTGCTCATAACTCCTTGATGTTGGTAAATACAATAAGTGAGCAATATATATAATATACATATGAGAATGCACAGCACATTATGGAGTATGCCCCTGCTGTGAAGTCCTGCCTCCATCTACTTGTCGTTTAATCACTGGACAGCTGGACAGGTTCATACAAAATATTAGATTAGGCCAATTGTCCTATACATATTTTTGACTTAGGGGTGGGATTGATTGTGAACTGGAAAGGGAAAATGCTTAGGGGGCTGAGTACGGCTGCATCGTCACTGATTTGTAGAATCATTTTTGATTCGATACAGGATCCGATTCAATTAGATTGGAATCTGGAAAGTTTTGCCTCAGTCAGAAATATTACAATTATGATCATTTAACAGTATATATCCATAATTTCGTATCTATTAAAAGAAAGCTGACACATGTGAGACTTAATTAGAGATGTAAACAGAGAGTTATGAAACCTGCAGCTGCAGAAGCCAGCGGGGAAAAAAAGAGGCAAACACAGCGCGGACCCGCCGACACACCAAAATCTGACTGACGCGTCGGGTCCGCGCTCTGTGTTTACGTTTGTATGCAGAATCCGTAAACCTGCTCCCAGTTACTGTTTTAGCTGTATGGTGTTTGACGACATGTTGTGAGGTTTAACCTGAGATGCTGGCGTTTCAGGCATAATAACGTTAATTTACAAATCGACACGGGATTTTAATGAATCAATATCACTTTATTCAATTTAGCATGGATTGTAATCAGAAAGGCGATAATCAAAACCCACCCCTAATCAAGAACTTGCAAAGTAAAAACATGATCAATGTAAGGTAGCCCTTTTGTTATTTACATTTAAAAAGAGGATTAGTGTTACTGTGCGCTGGCTGAGTCTGTTTCTTTTCTTAGAAATAGTTTCTCCTGCCCTGGAGAAAATCCACTTGCATGGAACAGAAGAGGCTGTGGAGTGCAGGAACTACACTGCAAGTTGGTAGATATGCAGGTATTCCTGGGTCCTGCAGACTATCACCTAAAAACAATAAACAAAATGATTTTCTAAACTGTGTAGCAATGTAATGTACGTATAGTGTCAAATACATTGTTGTAGTCTTCATCAGCTTTAATTCACATGGAAGTGTTCCTAAAGTCATATGCTGTAATGATATTTACATTATGAAAACATGATTTTGGATATTTCAAGTTTTTCACTTCGGCAGATAAAATGAATTGAGCAAAATCAACTCAAAATACTCCCACACGCCAGAACGTCCTCTCTTCCTCGCTGGCTCCATATCTGTCAGTGGAATGATCACCTCGTCGCTATCTGTCACCATCAACACACTCCACGAATCCCGTGGATGATTCACTTCCTTATATCCGTTTGAATCAGGTACCGAAGCAGTTACGTGCGTAATGAAGCTTCGGACGTCACTGGTCACGTGACTTTTGCCAAACGAAGCAAGCCTCGACACAGTGCTTCTGAACCAGTGTGTTGTTTTTTTTCGACACACGCTCCGGAGCGTCAGCTTCAAGCGGGCCATCACTACTTCCGTGTCTGAGTTCTGCATTTTGGGTCCACCACTCCTGCTTGCCTGCCACACAGCGATTCATGACACAACATGTGTGTGCAGTATTTTAAAGGATTATTCACAATATTGTCTTCACAAGTATATTCACTCACCAAACACAAACAACACAATCACCTTCATTCTGAAAGTCGACCTGAGGGTTTAAAATAAAACACAAATGAACATTACTGTTAACACGACATCATAAAAAGAACACCAATTAAACGTGAACACTTTCATTTCACACACAGCCACAGAGAGATTCTTCTTCACATGAACACTTTACAGAGAAACCACCAAGCCCTCGCTCTGTTTCCGTCCTCTCTCTGTGTTAAAAACAATAAAACTCAGTGTTGGACTTAAAAAGTGAAAAAGAGTGTCACTGAGAAAGTCAAACATTTCTTGTGGCTCTTTAATTTAATCTCACCAACAGCTCATGTGAAGGTGTTTCCTGTAAATCTGCTGTAACTTTACCTGACTGCTCATCAGAAATGAGAAGTTTTAAGAAGAAAAATAAAAATTTATTTCCTCTGGACCGACTTAAATAAATTCTCCTAAAAAAACAGCTCAACTGAGATCATTATGTGTCCAATTAAATAGCGTTAAAATGAATATTAACACTTATTAAGAATTTGCTGCCACCAAAAAGGTGCTTTCATTGGAGTTTCAAACTTAAATCTGTGAGTCCAAATTGACAAATTAAATCAGTTTTAACTTCGACTCCGTACAAACAACAATTTCTGAAACACTTAAAACATTTTCATCTGTATTGGCTCTTAAACTGGTCCCTCTGCACTAACTTTGAACTCCATTACGGAGCAAACAGAAAGTTTCTAGGATGGTCATGTTAAATCCTTTGTATTTATTTTGAAATATAAAACCAAATTTTAAAATGTAGGTTGAGCTCTTACCTTAATTTTGAACAGATTCTGTGTCTTTTAGTTCAGTTATTGAAGCTAAAATATTTTTTCTTCCTCTGTGCTTCACTTCACTGAAAATAAGATCTCAAGGATGCAAAAGTGTAGAAGGTGGAAGACATCTGAAGACAGAGCTGCACTCTGCAAAGTTGTAGGCCACTGCAAACCCCAGATCTTTGTAGGTTTGCTACTCAGGTCTGCATTTTCCTGCAATCTAGGCCTGGCATTTTCTACTCAGTGCAGTTCTTACAAAAAGCTGAAGAAAGTTCTGCACAGTGACTTAAAAAAAGGCTCAGCTGCACACACTCAGTAGGATTACGCTCATGGATCGCAATGTGATCACAATGATTCCTGTAACAGAGAAGTGAAAATAACTTGGAACTAAACAGGGAAGTCATAATAGGAAGAACAGAAAGAACACAGAGTTTTATGTAACTTTATCTGACTGCTCATCAGAAATGAGAAGTCTTTAAGAAGAAAAATAGAAATTTGTCTCTACTGAACTGACTCCATCATGGAAATTTGTTTATACACAGTTTCACTAATTTTCCTTAATTGAGATGTGAGTAGCAAACCCCAGATCTTTGTGGGTTTGCTACTCATGTCTGTAAGTCATAACAGGAAAAATAGAAAAAATGGTAAATGGTAAATGGACTGGTTCTTATATAGCACTTTTCTACTCTGTCTGAGCACTCAAAGCGCTTTATACGACTAAGAACATAAGAGTTTGAAAAAAGACCAATATTTATTCATCACAGCAGAAGTAAGAAAGTAATAGTTTTCAATATAAAAGAAAATGAAGGTAAATGAGCTGATTTAAAGAGTTAAACTCAGTTTTATTCTTTTGTGTTGTGTTTGTGTTCAAATATTGTGTTCAGCATTTCGTCACTGATCTTCCCCTCTTGTCTTACCAGGTTTAGGAGAGTGGAGCGACTGTGAAATCAAGTGTTGCAGTTGTTTGTCTGTCACAGGAACACAAGCATGGAGCAGGACTCGGGAACCACGTTATTGAAACTGTTGCACATTGCTCACTAATTGCCACTATAAATAAACACACTGTCTCGGACTGGAAGGTCCTGCATTTGGGTCCCGTTCTTGCCATGCACCCTGACAAACTCAGTTACAGATGTCATTAATGGTTGTGAAATCCATCTTCTGAAGCCTCATTAGCCTCCCCCAGGTGTTAACAAAGGCAAACATCATCATTTTTAGACCACCTTCAGGGTGGTCAGTTGGTTCTCTGCTTACTTGGTTAAAAAGCTGCATCCAAAAAACTGTACAGTATGACGCACATAAGACACATACTTACTGATATGTGTTTGAGCTCTATATGCTCAAAGTAATAACTAATTACTTAATTAGTTATTAAAGAACTTACTTAAAGAAGTCCAGACGCTTTTCTTTGCAAGCTCCTTTGACAACTAATAAAACACTTGAATTTCACTCACCTGAACTGAAGCACGAACCTCTGGGATGGTTATTAGATATCAGAATATTAGTCACACAATCCATTAAAACGTCTCCAAAACACACCAACTGACCACTTAGATTGACAGGTGAGCCTTATTTGTGTAATACTATCTAATATTTAGTTAATATTTATCTAATAGATAGCTTTACCCACCTTGAGAAAACTTTCTTCTGATTGGCTGCCCCTCACAAATACAAGATTAGAATGGCAGGAGAGTGGGGCTTATGTGCTCAACCCTAAAAGCTATTTAGCTGACCAATTAACATGAAGATTATCCACTGTTTTTGACAACATATAGAGCAAAAACTAGAAAAAAAATATCAGAAACAAAAATTGAAAGAGCACACAGCTTGACAGAAAGACATTTATTTATCACAACAGAAGTAACAAAGTTTTTTTTTTTAAGTAAAATTAAAAAAAAAACATGAATCATTGAAAAATCACGATCTCCAAACCAAAGGAAAACAAGTTGTTTTGGTGCTTTGTTTTCTTTCTGTAAAACACATTAGTTGTTATCTCCTCACTCTAACAGGTCGAGGAGGGGACTGAAGGTGACTACTGATGGCAGTGGAAACCAACAGTCAGAGTTAGCACAAAGAGTGAAGCTACAACAAAGTCGCTCTAATGTTTGGCTGCCATTAGGGCGCTGACATCAGTAGAACAAGGTGTTCTAGTGACTTCTCTGGCCACAGGCGTATAAAATAAGCCATGTAGGCATTCAGACCTCTTCTACAAACTTTTGTTAAACAACGAGTCGCTTTCAGGAGCTCATTGAATTCCAGTGTGGTGCCATGATAGGATGCCATCTTGCAACAAATCCAGTTGTGAAATGTTGTTGTTACTAAATATTCCACAATCAGCTGTTAGTGGCATTATAACAAAGTGGAAGCGATCGGGAATGACAGCAATGCAGCTATAAAGTGATAGGTTGTGTAAAATCACAGGGTAGGATGCCGAGCTTCATAGTGTGCAGAGTCTCCAACTTTCTGCAGAGTCGATCGCAACAGACCTCCAAACTTCAGGTCTTACGATTAGCTCAAGAACAGTGCACAGGGAGCTTCATGGGATGAGTTTTACACAACCAAGCAGCTGCAGCCAAGCCTCACGTCAACAAAGACAATGCAAAACATCACATGCAGTGGTTTAAAGCATGCCACCACTGGACTCTTGAGCAGTGGATAGATGATTTGTGGAGTGACAAATCATACTTCTCCATCTGGCAATCCAGTGGATGAGTCTGGCTTAAAGGTTGCCAGGGGAACGGTACTTGTCTGACTGCATTGGACTTACTGTAAAGTTTGGTGTAGAGGGGATTATTGTGTGGGATTGTTGTTCTGGAGTAGAGCTTGGTCGCTCCAATAAGAGGAATTGTTACTGCTTCAGCGTACCAAGACATTTTGGAGAACTCCATGCTGCCAACTTTGTGTGAACAGTTTGAGGATGGCCTCTTCCTGTTCCTCTACAAGACAGCACAAAGCAAGGTCTATAAAGACATGGATGAGTGACTGTGGTGAGGAAGAACTTTTGAACAGAACATCTTTAGGATGAATTAGAGCAGAGACTGCAAACCAGGCCTTCTCATCTCAGTGTTTGATCTCACAACTGTGCTTCTGGAAGAACAGTCAAGAATTCCCATAAACACACTCCAAAACTTTGTGGAAAGCCTTCCTAGAAGAATTATAGCTGTTATAACTGAAAAAGTTGGGCCTACATTATATTAAATCCTGTGGATTAAAAATGGGGTGTCACTCAAGTTCATGTGCGTTTGGAGGCAGACGAATAAATACTTTTGGCAATAAAGTGTAATTTGGGAGAAAAGCCTGAACAGATGTCTGAGAGATTTCAGGTGGTTCTCGGTTTTACTCAGCAAAGCCCAGGAAACAAAACAAATACTTCATCTGTACATCTACTGATTTACTGAAGAGTGTAATAGATAATCCGAGACACTCAGTTAGACTTTTGCCAGTTGTGAAATGTCCAGGACTTTGTAAGAGCTTGGTGTAGTGAAACTATGAATCTGATCAGTTACACATTCGGCGAAGAGGTTAGACCAACATAATCTGTAACCACAGCTATCAACACTATACATAAATACTTGATGAACGCCTTTCCTCACATACCATCCTTCCATTCATGCACTTACACAAGACTGTGACACAAACTATCAGGAACATCCCAAACTGGCAGCACACCCCCATTGCAATCCACATCCAACAGGAGAGTCCCAGTGGGCAATCGTCGGCAGTACCTGAATGCAACACAGAGAAAGAGAACGTGAGAATGACAAGAATGAGTTACACATTCAGCAAAGGATCAAAGGATCAAATTTGCAGACATTTTCAAAAGCTGGACGCACATGTTGTACATGTTGTACATGTTGTACATGTTGTCTTCTGAACACTCGTTACAAATAATGTGATGTTCTTTCGGGTGGATAGTGGAGTTGTTGAAGTTGGAGGCTCTGAAGAACAAAAACACAAATCTTTATGTTTCTTTTGACCACATATGTACACATGGGCCTTCATTCCATGCACCCGTGTATTACCCTTTATGGTAATACTCTTACTCAGTTGTTTGCCATCACAGGTGATGATACACTCCCAGGTCCCATTATGTGAGCTTGTTACAGATTTGAGTTGAACTGTTGATGGCCATTCAGGTGAATCAGCATTTGGGCTCTTCCACTTCACTTCACAACCTTTTAGCAGATGTTTCACCTCACAGTGGAGCGTTGCCTCATCACACAGTTTGAGAACAGCAGAGGGAGTCACAGAGACCGAAACTGAGAAGGACGGAGGTGAGGATACAGTGAGAATCAGAAAGAGAAAGGGGAGTCATTAGACACATGGCACAGCTTTATAACACGAGAGAAAGAGTTAAGAAAAAACAAAACGGCATATTACACTGCATGTTAATAGACAAATAACCATTTCACACACTTGTCAGAATGTTATGGATATAAAACCACCAAAAATTTAACAGTGACAGAATCACAGGAAGTAGTTGGTGAAGATAGGATCAGGCTTGGACTATTCATTACATCAGAAACTGATTCTCATTTTTGCATTTCAAACAATTGAAGGCCAGACTGTAAAGTTTGTTGGTTATACAGAGAAGACTGCCACATAGAAACACACCATAGGTTTTTCTCTAAGCAGCAGTTTACTGAAAACAAATACAACAGAAAATAAGGACACTTTTATGTTAAAGCTCATACATTATAGTTACAGAACCATTAGTCACATTGAAAAAATTCCCCTCATTTCACAGCAGTGATGTTTTTATTAAACCCATCACTGCTCCATTAAATGTGAACATTTATTTGTAAATGTATATTTTCCAGGGTCTGCTGTTTACCTGAGAACACAACAAGTGAATGGTATCGAGGTGTCCAATCTGCCGAACATTCGAACTCTCCAGCATCTGTTTCTCTCACACTGGAGATTTCCAGATTCGTCTGTCTCACAACTGACCTCTGTGCAAGTTCAACATTGCCTAACACAGAAAATAAAAATATGTTCTTATATAATGTAATCGTCATATACTGATGTTAACTATTTCAAGATAATCAAGTACCTTTGCGAGGGAAGCCTCTCTGATCAACACTATGAAGAAAGTCATATCTATTATACCACTTCAGAGAGTTTCTGTAGCTGTTGACTCCACAGTTCAATGTGACTTTATCCCCAACATTTGCAAAGAAAACTTCCCCTGCTGCAGAGAGTGCACCCAGCACTGAGAAGAAGGCAAATAAATTAAATAAATACTCATCTTGTATTAATGAGTATTTAAAGGAGGATATAACAAATGTCTTTACATGGAGACAAAACCAGTAATATTCTCTGTATGTCGTCATAAACTTGTAGTGACATTAAAGAACCTGAGATCAGATTATAAATTATTTTTTAATTAGATTAAACATGAGGTCACACCATCTACAACATGTATGTGCAGTATTTTAAAGGATTATTCACAATATTGTCTTCACAAGTATATTCACTCACCAAACACAAACAACACAATCACCTTCATTCTGAAAGTCGACCTGAGGATTTAAAATAAAACACAAATGAACATTACTGTTAACACGACATCATAACAAGAAAACTAATTAAACGTGAACACTTTCATTTCACACACAGCCACAGAGAGATTCTTCTTCACATGAACACTTTACAGAGAAACCACCAAGCCCTCGCTCTGTTTCCGTCCTCTCTCTGTGTCGTATGTTAAAAACAATAAAACTCAGCGTTGGACTTAAAAAGTGAAAAACAGTCAAACATTTCTTGTGGCTCTTTAATTTAATCTAACCAACAGCTCATGTGAAGGTGTTTCCGGTAAAGCTGCTGTAACTTTACCTGACTGCTCATCAGAAATGAGACGTTTTTAAGAAGAAAAATAAAAATTTATTTCCTCTGGACCGACTTAAATAGATTCTCCTAAAAAAACAGCTCAACTGAGATCATTATACGTCCAATTAAATAGCGTCAAAATGAATATTAACACTTATTAAGAATTTGCTGCCACCAAAAAGGTGCTTTCATTGGAGTTTCAAACTTAAATCTGTGAGTCCAAATTGACAAATTAAATCAGTTTTAACTTCGACTCCGTACAAACAACAATTTCTGAAACACTTAAAACATTTTCATCTGTATTGGCTCTTAAACTGGTCCCTCTGCACTAACTTTGAACTCCATTACGGAGCAAACAGAAAGTTTCTAGGATGGTCATGTTAAATCCTTTGTATTTATTTTGAAATATAAAACCAAATTTTAAAATGTAGGTTGAGCTCTTACCTTAATTTTGAACAGATTCTGTGTCTTTTAGTTCAGTTTTTGAAGCTAAAATCGTTTTTCTTCCTCTGTGCTTCACTTCACTGAAAATAAGATCTCAAGGATGCAAAAGTGTAGAAGGCGGAAGACCACTGCAAACCCCAGATCTTTGTAGGTTTGCTACTCAGGTCTGCACTTTCCTGCAATCTAGGCCTGGCATTCTCTACTCAGTGCAGTTCTTACAAAAAGCTGAAGAAAGTTCTGTCTTAAAACAGGCTCAACTGCACACACTCAGTTAGACTACTCTCATGGATCAATTGTCACAATGTGATCACAATGATTCCTGTAACAAAGAAGTGAAAATAACTTTTTTTTTTATTAATTTGTGTCATATTGAACACTTAACATTTAAGGTTTTTTTTTTTTTTGCTTAAAACTAAGTTAATCAATTACTCCAAACAACACACTGAGACCAAAAACTAAATTATTGATTCTTAGTTCTGTCATTAATATTGTTGTATTTAATCTCAATAAATACATTCACATCTCAAAATGAGTGAATTTATGTCTTTAACATCATAAATTAATGTTATTTTACACATCAAGCCTTGGAAACAGAGTTTGACACATTTTTTTCTTATTATTTGTTTAAATGGTTTTAACTTGGACTCTTTTATGCAGCTCGTTCTGAAACACTACTCATCTGTATTTGCTCTTAAACTGGTGCCTCTGCCAGTAAGCTTGAAAAGAAAGGATAGCCACATTAAATCCATTTTACAAGATAAAACAAAAAGAAACAAATGAAACTAAATTTGAAAATGAAGCTTGAGCTCTTACCTTAATTTTAAGCAGATTTTGTGTCTTTTAGTTCAGCAAAAATCTTTCTTCATCCTCTCGTGCTTCACTTCAACAAAAACAAAGATCTCAAGGATGCAGAAGTGCAGAACCCAGAAGGCCTCTGAAGAGAGAGCTGCACTCTGGAAATTTGCAAGTTGATGCAAACCCCAGATCTTTGTGGGTTTGCTACTCACGCCTGCACTTTCTGCAATCAAAGCATTGCATTTTCAAAACAGTGCAGCTCTTTAAAAAAACTGAATGAAGTTCTGAACAGTCAAGTTAAAGCTTATTTACAAAACGCTCAACTGGAGACGTGCGCTCAGATTATTCTCACAGAAAAGTGATGCCAATTTATCACAATTATTTTTATAATCAGGACAGTAAAATAAGATGGAGAAAAACATATCAAGAAAAACACAAAACACTGGTTTACAGAAAGACATTTTTTTATTTATCACAACAGAAGTAACAAAGTATTTCTTTTTTTGTTTTCAAGATAAAACTCTTCAGAAAACACAAAAAACAAGCTGACTTTTTGCTCTATTTTCTTTTTGCAACACATTTATTTTTATTATTTTAAAATTCCCTCCATCTATTAGATTCTAAAACCTATTTATAAAAATGTGTAAAGTGAAATGTGAGAGACTCATTTCCTTTCTCTCTGAACTTTGTATAACAGAAGAAATAAGAAAAAGAAAAAAGGACACTTCAGGGAAAATATACAACAATTAAACCTATGTACAATAGTATGAAAGCATGAGGAGCATTAAAGTGAAAGTGAAAGTAAGAAGACCTCAGCAGGAGTTAGTTTTAAGTGTTTTTATCAGTTTGGCTGAATAGCTTCACACTGCAGTAATAAAAAAAATATTCACCTCTTCTGCCATCTGTACACAGTTTGTCTCACTTTGCTGAAAGGTTTTGCTATTTATTGTGTGAAATGGGTAATGCAATGTTTGTCTTGCATATACGTGTAATACTGCAAGTGCTAATTTTAGGACAAGAAAAAAACACTCTTCTCTGAAACAAGAAAAATAAAAAAGTTTTCCCTACACTTATTTTATATTTTATTTTGTTTTTAAATTTGAATATTGAATATGTCACATAAAGCCAAAAGATGATTTGTTTGGGATGATTGTAATGCTGAAAAATAAAACTGTTATTTGAAAACCTAATGGCACTTTTGTGTGTTAATAATTCCATCAATCTTGACAAGATCTCCAACATCTCTGTTTAAAAATTGCCAGGTACTAAAACCGCAAAAAATAGAATATGTCCAAATAAAAACTTTGAAAGATATACTTTTATTTCAACAGGCACTGATTGTATTCCTGCTCTATTTATACCTGTAAACACTTTCACAAATAAGTTCAAAAAATCTGGAAGTACTATCATTTATATTTATATTCGGGGTGATGACCTGAGCTTTGCTCCAAATGCTAAACTTTTGTCATTTTGATGGAACACAAAGGGCTGTTAAAGCAACACTAAAAAACAAAAAAATATTTAAGACAAGAAATTAAAAAGACTTCAACAGAAGTGAAAAAGCCAGATTAGAAAGACTGGTATATGTAACAACCCCAGCACTGCAAAATGTCACCAGCTTACGTAATAAATGTTTTTAACACCTACAAGCTGGCAGACATCACAGCTAACACTATGACTCATGTTCCAGCCACAAATGTTTTTGAGTGTGGTTCCTATCACTTGTTTCTCATGACTTTTTAAATATTATAAATACAGTTGATTTTCAATCACTGAATCAAGAAAACATCAAACAACATTACAAACAGAACAAAAAAGGCCAGAAGTGTAAGACTGTAAAACTGAACATGAAAAGATTACAGCTTAGATGTATTTCCCTCAGATGTTGCGTTTACCTGTCTCAGATACACATCATTGAAAAGTGAAATAAAAAAAAAACTCAGGAAATGCTCACAATATTCTTTTTTCTTATCTGACTTCATTTACACTTACATATGTCCACATCAAACAGGTGGCTTCATCAGCATCTAACCAATCCACTGACAGCAGAATTCACATTCAAACTGTAATATTCAAAAAATATGAAGAGTTTCAAAACACAAAACAAGCTGAAAGAAACACAGCTTCAACACCCAAAGGAGGAGCAGTGTGTGTGTGTGTGTGCGTGTGTGTGTGTGTGTAGGAAAGGTACTCTATAAACCCAGTCATATGATAACACTGTTCAGGGCCATGACATATAAACACAGCTGTGTACATCATTACATTATTATGATGCTTGATTTTATACACCTGTGGCCGCAGAAGTGATTAGAACACCTGACTTCAATTATTTGCAACATGCTTCCTGTCCTCTCCTCTTTTATAGGACAGCCACAGCTTAGTGTAACTAGAGCCGTTCACTAAGTTATCTCAGTGACTTCACCTTGACCTGTTATGTTAAAGTGAAAAAATAGAAGGAAAACAAATGATAGATTAACAAATGTGTATTACCAAATAAACAAACAAACAAAAACACCCAAAACTGAAGAACTAAAACGACTTGTTTTCTTTTGTTCTGGTGAGGGGGGTATCTGGGTGTTTTATTTTTGAACAGAAGTACTTTGTTTGCTGTGGCAAATAAATAAATGTCTGTTAATTTCAAATAAATAAAGTGTGATCTGTCCTTTTGGTCCCTCTAACTTCTCTTTTTATTTTCACTTCCTGATTACAGGAATAATTGTGGTGAATTGGCAGTTTGCAGCTGACAATAATCTGAGAAAACATTTACAGTTTAGCTTTTTGGGCGTGTTTACAGTGGCCTATAACTTACCAAAGAACGGGTTTCTCTTCAGACGTTCTCCGCCTTCTTAAAATTGAACATTAAAAGCTTTAATGTGATGATCCTGGAAAAAACTTCCGCCTTTGTCATTCAAACTTTCTGACAGAGGCACCGATTTCAGAGAAAATATATATTTGAATAGCTGAAGTATTTCCGAAATAGTCACGTTATCATCTGTGATTTGAAAACGATCACAGTGATTGCAGTAAGTTTCAGGCACAAATGTCTTCCTTTGTTGTAACTGTAGCTTGTTTCTCTTCTTGCAGGACCTGTTACGGGACAACACTTACATTTAAGCCACTACCATCCCATTACTGTATCTGTGAATATAACACTAGAGGTCAAGGTTCAGTATTTTCACGGAGGCTTAAAACTATGAGACTTCGGACTATTAACCAGTAAAGCTGTCTCGTATCATATATGCATATCCCATGTCACATGCACACAGTTGTCTACGTCATGTGGCAGCTATGCTACGTTTACTGAGTTTTCTTCAAAACCTAAATCAAAATATGTGAGATCCTTATTGACGCACTAAATCAGCTTACAATCTCATTCTAAAGCATCTCTACTGCAGAGACAACCTATGCAAAGGAAATGAATATGGGTCAATTTGTAATCCTATGAAGTTGTGGCGTACGCTACGTGTAAACTTTGAGAATTTTAAAAACTATTTATTCACATCCAGGCTGTCAGCAAAAATACAAAGTGTTTCAGTAATTTTACAGATTCAGTTGTCAGACAGTTTGTACCGACAAAATAAATCAACATTGTCAAGTAATTGTTTTGTGTTACGCTGGCAGAGAGAGGCCTGCTCAAGTGTGACTAGAGTCTCTAAACTTTGTCAGATACCTGAAGTGGAATTTTAAAACTAAAACAAAGTAGAACATGAGAAGAGACGCTAACAAATAATTGGCTAACAATAGTCTCCACAGTGTGTGTGTGTGTGTGTGTGTGTGTGTGTGTGTGTGTGCGTGTGTATACCCATCAGTGGGTGGGGTGAAGTATATAAACCACATTTCTGTGCTCTGTTCTGCTTCACTCTGAAGCTAAACTTCAGCGTCACATCACTGAATCACTAAACAAGCTGAGCAGGAAGTCGTCCTGAAGCCAGTAAGGTTGATGTTTACACTTATTCATATTATCTTTAGTTGAGAAGTTGAGTAGTTGGAGAGGCCAAGTCAAAATCTTAAGATCTAGAAACTTTTTCTGTCGTTATCCTTTGTGCTTGCACAGTTTCTACATTAACAGCACAAAAGCTGCTCAAATGGAAACTCAATGGAAATGCGGTTACTAGTGACGTATAACTTGATCTCATACTCATTCCCTTTTTTTTTTTTACTACAGAGATGTTTTTTGCTACTAAACATCTAAACTATACAATTATAGCTATAATTACACAAGAGGGTTTAATTTAATGTGCTGTTGATTAAATATTTATGGATCAATCGAGTGTGATCTGGTTGGAGTAGAATCACTCTGGCGTTATTTTTTCATTTTTAAAAAATACAGAATTATTCATGTAGGTTTGTCTCCATAAACAACTTGTGAAGGAAAATTCTGTCTTGGCTGGAGAAATCAAGTTTTTGCTTTGGAGTTTAATTTGTTTCCTCAGTATCTCCTGCCTGATGCGCTTGTGTCGACTCCCCTGTGTTAAGTTCATTTATGTGTCTACATTTTCACATTTGATTAAGATTCTCACTTCCTGTTTTATTTTGGTAGTTGGTAGTTAGTAGTTAGTGTCTTGTGTTTACTTTTATTTCCCCACCTGGGTCTTTGTCTGTGTTGTCTGTACCTGTGTCCTGTTTTCCCCCCGGCCATGTCCATTTCCCCAGGTTGCGTTTCTGCTTGTATGTTGTTCTGTCTTCAACTCAGTCTTTTGTCTCAGTTTCTTTTATAATTTCCTGTGTGTCTGAGCTGGTCAGGTTTGGATTTGGGCTATTCTTGCAGTGTTTTTCTTGGCTTTATCCAGTGTTTTCGAACTTGGGTCTCCATGACAAATTCAGCTGTTTTCTTTTTTGTTTTTAGTTAAACAGATTTGGCTTATTCTCTTTTAATTTCTTATGAATATCATTTGGTTAATATTCCACAGTCTCACTGTTGCACAACCTGCTATTCCACACAACAGGTTCTTTCCTGAAAAGGAATGAAGGATCTTTCACAGCAGTTCCACACAGAAAGTCAGCAAGCGATGATTTTTTCCGATTTTATCATATGGACTAACTTCATGTTCTGCCTTCCTTTGACCTTAGTGGTCATCTGTTGGTTGTGTTGCTTGGTACGTAAACAGTCACACTTACTACTTTCTTTTTCTTTCTCACACTTGTTAAAACACTCAGTTCTGCATTGATTATTAATTACATTGTACACTTTTGTAACACTCAGTTTTTCATCTTTTAAAAAATGTTTTTATAAGTCTAAATTATTTTTTGTAAATACTTGCTTGATGCTTAATACAATAACAGCAGAGAAAGCAAAATCAAATCAACCTCCTTGTTCATGCATCATCTGATGTAAACATTTCTATGTGTAATTCTGCAATTTGTGTTTATTACTGCAGTAATTTGACTTTAACGAATTTCTCCTGCAGGTACGAAAGGAGCATGTGATCTATTTCACTAACCTGCTCATTGCCAATCTCGTCCACATCAGCATAATGTTCACCTGGCAGTTGAAGCGAGGATCTTTAATTGAACAAGATGACATTATTTGCATAGCTGGTTTGACGGCTAGTTGGTATTTCAAGACATACATTGCTATTGAAAGGTGAATGTCTGTCTCTGTGTGTTCTTCCCTGACATTGTATTCTCTATCCTCATACAGAATAACATACTATTGTGATATCTCTCTTGTGTTGCAGGTGTTTTGTTATCACCTGCCCAAAGTTGAAGTGCAGCAGACAAACTAAGGGGTCCATGCTGGTTTCTCTCTTGATTTGGATCCTTTGTATTGCAACTGTATTTCCTACTGTAGTCTTCAAGAAGTTTCTTATCCTCTATATTTTTGCCCTCCTTCCAGCTCTCCTGTTCATCCTGTTTTTAGTATGGACCTTTCACGCCTTGGCTGCTGACACCTTAGTGACCACTGATGAAAAACAAAGAATTGTACGAATTTTCCTTTTGTTCTTCTTTAATTATTTTCTGATGATCCTTCCCGGTGTCATCTGTTCTCTTGGAGTATTTTTGGATAACGACTGCTTTAAAGTTATCGCTGATAAACTTTTAACTTTGTTGCTTCTCGGCCCTTTTCTGGATTTGATTCTGGTTTGTTTCATGCGTATAAGATGCAGATTCGACAACACTGCAGCAGACGTAGCTGAACATCGGCAGCCAGGTTGGGTGATGTCGCAAATACTAAGGGACAGAGAAAATAGGATACAAACTGTGTGAAAGATGTGGATAAAATATGCAAACAAAAACATTTACAAATATTGCTGTAAAGGAGACAACTGACAGGGAGTTTTACTTGATGTATATAAGAAGTGTGTTCTCAGCTAACGTTTCTTTGGTTGTCGACCACCTGAAACTCAGTTACTAGAAGTTACTCTTCACAGGAAGCATCTTAATGATGATTTATGAAGGAATTTTAAAAAATTTAAAATTTAAAATTAAAAAAAATTGCATTTCTTATCTGATGTAGTGATGCATAACAATGTAAAGCTAAAGCCATGAACCACTGTTTGACTTATTGTGCTGTATTTTTTCTACACAGACTGTTGTTCAGATCATAACTTTATGCATGACAGCTTTTACTGTCATAGACTGTGGATTTTGTCAGTTCATTTTTGAGCCATTAATATTTGGTATTGTTGAGTTTTGATTACTATTTGACTGGGTTTCCTTATTTTATTTTAAGATTATTCTAGCATTCTGAGTTCTGTTTTAGAGTTATAATTTTGAAATATGTAGCCTTATAATTTGGTATTTGAGTCTTTGTTTTACTTGACTTTAGTAAAAAACTTCTGTGTTTCTCTATTTTGCTGATTCTTTTTTGTTTGTTTAGTTACTTCATGTTTTATTTTGTGAGTTCTTTGTCTCTTGTGCCTTGTCTTTAGTTTGACTTCCCTGTGACTTGTTCTCTAGATTGAGTTCAGCTATGTCTTGGTACATTTATGTTTCCATTCTCCCTGACTGTCTTTTTCGTGTATTTAAAGTTAAAGTGTTCTCCTGCTTTGGGTTTATTATCATCTTCACATAATCTTTTCCTGTTTAATCTGGTCATCTGGGTGACAAGACCCGCTGGAGATTGTAAAAAGAAAGGAAAAAAACTGCAAAACCCCCCAACAAACAAAGTATCTTATTTTTTCTGAAAAACTCGTAACTCTGTCAAGGGGAAACCTGCGTTGATATAAGATTAGAACATGATTTTGTGTCATTTAAATGCTCCATAAGGATATTGTACTAGGTTATTCAGTTTAGTGCATGTTAAACTGGTTGGTTTCCAGTGTTGTTGTGCAGTTTACAGAGCCATCTGTGGTGTTCATGGTAAAACGCAGATCAAGGGCAGATCCAACGATTTTGATGTTTGTGAAGTTTTGCCACAAGAGTCAGGGGTTTTGTAACTGTAGTTTTGAGAAAAGAAAATCTGTCTTCTCAGAAAAACTGTATTTGAGTGTTAGCCACTTGACTTTGAATTACTGTGTGCTGCATTTTTAGATTTTGAATGTCAACTTCTTTCTATATTTACTGTGTCTGAGTCTGTCATATGTGTTACTTTCAGTGAAACCTTTTATCTTCTCCTCCATTTTTGTCTTCTGATTTCAAATCTACAGAAGAACAATGTTGAAATGGATTTGCCACCAGCTGCTTTACCAACACACAGACTCTTTAGTGAAGAAAGTAGTGAACTATTAAATAAATGCATCAGACAGAAAGCTGACTTGATGATTTATTAATTATGAGCGAAATTTATATGTGCCTCACTTGTTACAGTTACACAGCTAGCTTAAACATTATATTTTACAGGACTGCATCCTCCAAGGAACAGACAGACTGTGGTGTTTTACATAATTGTATTTTTTTAAAAATACCTTTCCGTGCAGAATTTGAAATTTCAGTATGCTTGTGTGTGTTTCCTCAGCTGTTTTGGTTTCATCCCACAGTCCAAGTTTACTTAAATTGAACACAAAATAATGTTATGCAAGATAATCTTTTAAGACTTTTCTATGCTAAATGATTTTTATATCATATATTCATGAAGTCTTTCGCACACAAAAATGTAACATTTATATAAAATAAATAAATAAATCAAATTTGTGTCAGCTTGTGTGCACTTGCATGGAAAGTCAAGGGAAAACAGCAATGCTGGTGGTTCATGTGGTGAATGAAGCCAGAATGAAGCCTACACCACCACCCTCACACATCTCCATCCACAAGTTACTCATAGACTCACTTTATTATGACACTTGTTTCAGTGATAAGCCACAAAACTATAAGTTTTGTATAACTATAAGATTCAAGTTCCAATTCAATTTTCAAAATTCATTTTTCTCAGTAACCATTTCTCCATCACATTTGCTCAAGCTGGTTTATCATCAGTGGTTTATTGTGTTTTACTTTCTATAAAACTGCAAACACTAAAAATTCACTAAAGCACATTTTCCACAGTGACGCACTCGTGATGCACAATGCTAACCGCAATAGGCAGCGGTGAATGTAATTGTGGTGGTTAACCATTATCAGTTCCAACCACAACTCTCTGCCTGGGAGGGATGTGAGATGGGCAAATGATACTGAATCATTTCTTCAACAGATTTGATTCAACCATGAGACAGTCTACAACATCGGCTGCAGACTCACCCACCCCCACTGCTGCTGTTCCACCTCTGACACCTCAGACACTTCACACCTCCTCTATTCACCCTGCTCACTCCTCCCCACCCCCAACAACAGCATCCAATACACACTCAACACAAGGCTCCAGCCTGTCTCTCTCAACCACCCAGGTTAGGAGGGAACTGAGGAGGATTAATGGCAAGAAGGCAGCGGGCCCAGATGGCATCAGCTCGAGGGTCGTCAGGTCCTGCGCGGACCAACTGTGTGGGGTGATGGAGCACCTCTTCAACCTGAGCCTGAGGTTGGGAAGAGTCCCACAGCTCTGGAAAACCTCCTGTGTTGTACCAGTGCCAAAGACTTCACGCCCCAAGGACCTCAACAGCTACAGGCCGGTGGCTCTGACATCCCACCTGATGAAGACCCTGGAGCGGTTGGTCCTGGCTCAGCTTCGGCGCCTAACAAGCTCATCACTGGACCCACTTCAGTTTGCCTACCAGCCTGGCATTGGAGCGGATGATGCCGTCATTCACCTCCTACATTGTTCCCTCGCTCACCTGGAGACCGCTGGAAGCACTGTGAGAATCATGTTCTTTGATTTCTCCAGTGCCTTCAACACTATTCTTCCCTCGGTTCTGAAGGAAAAGCTGGAGAACTCTGGAGTGGACCATCACCTCACTACCTGGATTTTGGACTACCTCACCGACCGACCACAGTATGTGAGGACTCAGGGCTGTGTGTCGGACAGGGTCGTCTGCAGTACGGGGGCCCCACAGGGAACGGTTCTGGCTCCGTTCCTCTTCACCATCTACACTGCAGACTTCTCCCACAATTCCACCCAGTGCTTCCTGCAGAAGTTCTCTGATGACTCTGCAATAGTCGGCCTCATCACTGATGGGGACGACAAGGAGTACAGAGGACTGACTCAAGACTTTGTGGACTGGTGCCAGCTGAACTACCTCCAGATCAACGCCAGTAAAACCAAGGAGCTGGTGGTAGACTTCCGCAGGCACAAGCATTCTCCACTGCAACCACTGAACATCCAGGGTATGGACATTGAGGCTGTGGACAGCTACAGGTACCTTGGTGTTCATCTGAACAACAGACTGGACTGGACTCATAACTCAGACGCCCTCTACAGGAAAGGGCAGAGCAGGCTGTACCTGCTGTGGAGACTCAGGTCGTTTGGGGTGGAGGGCCCACTCCTGAAGACCTTCTATGACTCTGTGGTGGCTTCTGCTATCTTTTATGGTGTGGTCTGCTGGGGCGGCAGCATCTCTGCTGGGGACAGGAAGAGACTGAACAGGGTGATCCGAAGGGCCAGCTCTGTTCTAGGACACCCTCTGGACCCAGTGGAGGTGGTGAGTGACAGGAGAACGGCGGCTAAGCTGTCATCCCTGTTGGACAACGTCTCCCACCCCATGCAGCAGACTGTGACAGCACTGAGCAGCTCCTTCAGTGGGAGACTGCGGCACCCACGGTGTGGGACGGAGAGATTTCGCAGGTCTTTCCTCCCCACTGCTGTCAGACTCCACAACAAAGACTTTAACTGAACAAACACACACATCCACACATGTGCAATAACACTAAGTGCAATAATCTTTTCTGGCATCGTTGTATTTTTACTCAGTTGTATATAGCATTCGTATTCTATTTTTATCTTATTGTATATTTTTATTCTATTTTATTCTACTGTATATAGTATATTATTTTATTCTATTCTGTACAGCTGTGTACTGTATTTATTCTTATTGTATTCTAATTTTTGCCTCATAACTTTTGCACTGTCCACTTCCTGCTGTGACAAAACAAATTTCCCACGTGTGGGACTAATAAAGGTTATCTTATCTTATCTTATCTTATCTTATCTTATCTTATCTTACTGCTCTGATTGACAGTTAAATAGAATATGATGTATAAACGGAAATGGAACAATCCAGTCTCCTTGTAATAGAGTGATGCACTGAAACATCTGTATACAGTAAAGATTCAAGATTATGATGGCCGAAGAGGAGCTGCTGAGATTGGATTGTTCATTTTGTCGTACAGCCCGCAGCACATGATTTACTCCCGTCTCACCCTCAGCATCCTCCCCTGTCCCAACAACTGTGTCTTGAAACCACTGGATCTGAGCTGCCCCTCAGAATGGACCAGAATCTTGTCCATTCTGGTCACTCCCAATGAAAATCTTAACAACTTAGGCTCTGCCTTTCCTTCCCTTACACTCTTGCTGCTGTCTTTCTGTCACAAATTATCCCTCACTCTTGCCTTCAGCTGCTCCACCCTGCCCTTACTCTCTTCTTCACCTCTTTTGTCCATTGTTCATTACTTTGGATGGTTGAGCCGAAGTTTTTAAATTAATCTAACATATGTGTAAATTTAGCCTAGTCTGGAAATTAATCATCACACTCATTGATTAAACTGCATAACTTCAGTCATAAATTCCACAATTTCCTTATAAAAACTTTAATAAATAAATCCTTTTAACAGAAGTTTAGTTTACAAATGATATCCTAGGGTTATTTATTGCATCGTTTATTTCTTATCATCTGGGAAGACCATAGATCAGAGTGTTTGATGTGAATATAATGATGCTACCAAATTTCCCGCATAAGCGCTGATGGTGTCCGCAGTGACTGTTTGTGGCTTCTAGAGAGTGAGCTTTCAGACTGATCAGTATTATTTCTCCCTAAAGTATTTTATTTGATGTAAAGTTTCCATGTAGATTTGTTACATAAGTACACTGTAAAATATTAAGTTTATTGAAATCAGTTGAAATGAAAATTTACTGGATTTTTTTAATAAATGTTTTTATACCTTCATACAATGACCCTAAACAATGTTTTATAAACTAAAACCCCAGAGCCTGTTTAATCCAAAATACAGATACAATAATAAATGTTAGTTTCCCATGCATGACTTATGTATTCTGTTATGCATTAAGTAAATCAACTTCCTGCCCCTCACCTCACCACATAAAGCTCCTGAGATGCAGAGGCATGTTCTTCAAAGTGCAAAGTAAATGAATGCATGCAGTTGTGCAGAAACACTTTCTTGCTTCACGTTTAGGCTGTTGTCTCAACGGTGTCTATTTATTACTTTATAAATTATTTGCAGTCAGGCAGCAGATTGTGCACCAGAAATAAATCAATCAAGTTTAGGGAACATTTTCCAGAGAAATGAACTGGAACTATTTTATTTAAAACTAGACCTAAGGAGAACCATACTGGGCCATACCCTCCATAGTGTGTGCGTGCCACTGTGTATATAAAGGGCCACAATTTCGAGGTTCATAGTATACTAGCTGAGCCAGTCTCCCAGGTAAGGTAGATGTTTATACTTATCCAGCTTCACTTGAGGAGTAGAATAGCTTTAACAAAACTGAAGTCAGAATTATGACAAACACAATAATTAAGAAGTTCTTATTTTTTCCTTGTGTACTTGTGATGGAAATACTTATATTAGTGATGCATTAACTGTGCCTGATCTCATCCTCAGATTGTCTGACAGATGTTTCTTCTTGTTTAAAAGCTTCTAGCTTAAGACTCCTTACATGGATCAATTCATGAAAGACGTTAAATATTCAGTCTGTTCTGAAACTGGTGGCTCGGCCAGTAATTTGGACTGTTTTAGAACAGAAATAAAGTGTTTTCAGGACAGTCACATTAAATTAAATATTACCTCTATTAAAATGTAGGTTGTGCCCTTAATTTTGAGTAGATTTTGCCTCTTTTAATATAGTTATGTAGAATAAGAAAAAAAACTTAGGAAATTCATAATGAACACATAAGAACACAGTTTGACATAAAAACAATTATTTATTAATCACAGCAGGAAGTAAGAAAGCAAAACTGAGCACACAATGGCAAAGGTGGTCTTTGGGCTATCCTTCGAGCTGCACAGTGAAGCTGTTGTTGTTGATGTTGTAGGAGGCGGCTCTGGAAAGGAAAACACATGTTTGTTTTTCTTTTGATCACAGTGGAATACAGGAGTCTTCATTTCCAGTATCTGTGTATTACCTTGGACTGTGATGGTCAGATGCTCACTAAGCTGATTGCTGCCACAGGTGATGATACACTGCCAGGTCCCATTATGTGAGCTTGTTACAGGTTTGAGTTGAGCTGTTGGTGACCACTCGGGTGAATCGACCTTTGGGCTCCTCCACTTCACTTCACAACCTTCAATGACACCTTTCACGTCACACTGGAGCGTTGCCTCGCTGCCCAGCAGGAGATCAGCAGAGGGAGTGACAGAGACCGACACTGTCAGCAGGAGGTGAGGACACAGTGAGAAGCATAAAGAGAGAGAGGAGGCCATGATGAACAAGGGACTTGATCCAAATTCATTATACACATGAAAAACCTTCATAACATCAGAAAAAGATGATAGTTTACTACAACTAAGTGGGCACATGGTAAACTTTCTTCTT